TCATAGCCCTATATCCTTATAGCCTTAGGCCCTGTAGCCTTATAGCCTGATAGCCTTATAGCCTCATGGCCCTATAACCGTATACCCCGCCCTAGGGCCTATAGCCCTATAGCCCTACAGCCCTAGAAGTCTATAGTCTTATAGCCGTATAGCCCCAGAGCCAATAGCCCTATAGCCCTATAGCCCCATAGCCTTATAATTAGCCCAAACAAATGATGGTTTTTCTTCCCGGAAAGGGCTTAAGCCCAGGGTTCTCTTTTAGTAGGTAAACCTGTCCCCCGGTGCCTGCTTGAAGGAGGCCGGCGAATTTTTTCCCTGATAAATAACGAGGTCGAAGGAGGCCGGCGAATTTTTCCCTGATAAATAACGAGCCCGCGAATTAAAATTTGAGGATGTCTCGAGCGAAACGCTTGTTTTTGAGCGCCCGCGACTTAAAATTTGAGGATGTCTCGAGCGAAACCTTGTTTTTCGAATTTTCAGGAATCTCGGCGAAAACGCCTTGTTCGAAAACGCTGAGACGCTCTACCCCCTAGCAGACCACCCCACACGACCACACCCCAGCAGGAACCCCAGCACGACCACAACCCCACACGACCACACCAATACCCCTGCACACACGAACCACAACCCCAGCACGACCCGATCATAAGGCACAGTTTCGACACCCCAGCACGACCACACCCTGCACACCCCACACACCATCCACACGACCCACCCCAGCACACCACGCCCCATCACACCACAACCCATCACACCACAAGCCAGCACACCACACTTCCAGGACACCCCGACCAGCACGACCCCACCCCACACGACCACACCCCACACGACCACACCCCAAACGACCACAAAAAACCCCCCAGCCCACCCAAACCCAAGCACACCCCACCCACACACCCGACCCCAGCACGACCACAGAACCCCAAAGCACGACCACAAACCCCCCAGCACGACCACACCCCAGCACGACCACACCCCAGCACGACCCCACCCCAGCACGACCACACCCCAGCACGACCACACCCCATCACGACCACACCCCAGCACGACCACACCCCAGCACGACCACACCCAGTCGCACCCCCGTGGAATGTTTCGTGGGGTGTCTGGTTGAGTGGTTGCCTGTTCGTGGGGTGTCTCGTGGAATGTTTCACGGGGTGTCTCGTGGAATGTTTCGTGAGGTGTCTCGTGGGTTGTTTCGTGAGGTGTCTCCTGGGATGTTTCGCGGGGTGTCTCGTGGGATGTTTCGTGAGGAGTCGCCCAGTTGGATATCGTGAAAACGTGACCATACTGCACATGTCTATATCCCTTTCCGGGGTCGTGTCCTTCAAGTTCGGTATAATTTGCATCTGTATGTGAAAAAGTTGTTTTTTTCCCAAAGCTTAAGCCCAGGATTCTCTTTTAGTATAAAAACCGTCCCCCTGCCTGCTTGAAGAGGCCCGCGAATTTTTCCCTGATAATAACGAGTCGAAAGGAGCCGGCGAATTTTTCCTGGATAAATAACGAGCCCGCGAATAAAAATTTGAGGATTTCTCGACGAAACGCTTGTTTTGAGGAGGCCGGCGAATTAAAATTTGAGGATGTCTCGAGCGAAACGCTTGTTTTTCAGAAAATGGTGAGGATGTCTCGAGCGAAACGCTTGTTTTTTGTTATAGATTGTCCTCTCCTGGGGACCTGAATTCTGAGGACCACCTCCCAGCACGACCACCCCCCCAGCACGACCACCCCCCAGCACGACCACCCCCCAGCACGACCACACCCCAGCACGACCACTCCCCAGCACGACCACACCCCAGCACGACCCCACCCCAGCACGACCCCACCCTGGCACGACCACACCCCAGCACGATCACACCCCAGAACGACCACACCCCAAACGGACCACACCCCACACGACCCCACCCCACACACCCCACCCCAGCTCGAACCACACCCCAGCCCGACCACACCCACAGGACCCCACCCCAGCACGACCCCCCACCCCGCTACGGCCCCACCCAGCAAGACCACACCCCAGCTCACACAACCCAGCACACCTACACACAGCACGACCACACCCCAGCACGACCACCCCCCCAGCACGACCACGCCCCAGCACGACCACCCCACAGCACGACCACCCCCCCAGCACGACCACCCCCCAGCACGACCACCCCACAGCACGACCACACCCCAGCACGACCACTCCCCAGCACGACCACACCCCAGCACGACCACACCCCAGCACGACCACACCCCAGCACGACCACACCCCAGCACGACCACACCACAGCTACGATCAAACAGCACACCCCAAACGACCACACCCCAGCACGACCAGAGCCCAGCACGACCCCACCCCAGCACGACCCCACCCCAGCACGACCATACCCCAGCACGACCACACCCCAGCACGACCCACCCCAGCACGCCCCACCCCAGCAAGACCACACCCCAGCACGACCACACCCCAGCACGACCTACCACAGCACGACCACGCCCCAGCACGACCACGCCCCAG